ATTAGATATATATTAGGCTCATTTATTCTACACATAACGATAGAAGATACGACTACGTTCTCATATTCACTGGTTATTTTATAAATTGTGATAACGTAATTACGTATCCAATATCATTAAGCATTGCGAAAGGACAGTTTACCATTTTTTATGTTACTTAACAAAGTTCTAGCCAAATGTTGTAGTTATAACTGACGATCTGCTTCTTTGAACTGGCATTTTCTAACTCCAGGCCCAAGAAGCGAACTATTTTGTTTTAGTTACATTGGTAGTTGAAGGAAAACAAAGGCGGTAATAAACCTTAAATGGTCTCGCAAGGTGTGATTTACATTTAGTCTTGTGCATTTTTAGTTTAGACTTGGTTCAATGGGGAATAACAATTGTATAAGAGCATGGTGATTTGTCTTTCATTTCATGGAATTATCCTGAAGGAGCAGATTATCTAGACCAATAAGATATATCCCCCAACCCTAACTAAGTTCTTTATAAGACTTCGGTAATCCTCTCTGACTTCAGTCGTGAGGCAACTGAAGTCGTGCAATTAGTTTAAAAGCTTTTTGTTATATGTTTTCTATGTTTGAGAATGATTAAAAATTCTTGTAGTTCCACACATAATGCATCATTTTGAGCCAAATGAACTGTATACATAATAAGACTCTGAATAAATTTTTACTCAGTAACTATAAATATTACTTACAAAATAAACTCACTCTTGTTTCGAATGATAAAGTATCTTCAAATCAAACGTAGTAAAATAAGCCAAAATACTTAGAAAATAACAGTTTTTATGGACTTTTTTGGCTCTTTTGTGTCTTTTTTTCCCACTTTCCTGATTATGTGATGCTGCCTTCTATTCTTAATGTTCCTCCTGTATTTACAGTTAGCTCGCATCGGTGACGTACTTTTGTTCTTTTGTATATTGATTTTACAACTGTAGTACATAAATACAAAATTCCTTGACAGATTGTGTATAGGAAAATATCTGTATCTAATTTAGTCACCCTTACCTGTATCTTGCCTTTTTATTTTTCGTCAGAGCTCCCGTTCTAGGTTTTGTTTGTTCTAAATCTTACAAGAAACAGATATTGAAGCAACAAGTTAATTTTTTCTATATATAACAAATCATTTCCAATTGTTACTGTGCTATGATCTGTGGGTCATAGTCATTCCTAAAATAGTTTGAAAGTAAAATCCACCTGTGTCAGTACTATTCTGTATATAAAGCAGCGCATGTTCTAAAGGTCACAAATCGAAAAGTCCAAACTTCGAGTCATAATCAGACTTCGTACTTTTAATCGCACTATTCAATTAACTCTGTAGGTGTGTATTTTTTTTCAGTCATATGACGCTCAAAATCATCTTCAGATAATTCAGGTTCAGAGCCAGAATCATCGTCAGCTTGCACAAGTTCAATTGTCTCTGCAAGTGTGAAAACACTGGAGCGATTTGATGCCATTTTGGTCGGTTTTCTAATAAAAATAAAACAATTTTCAACTGCAAATATTACTGATGTTTTGAATAATAATATACTCCATGTAGGTGACGAGGAAATACTTTTCAGAAAATAAAATTTGGAGACGGATTGAATGGGAAGTGAAAGAAACCTTATTACAAATGTATAACGTTTCGGCAAGCTTATATCATGGTGATGATGATGAAATAAGCTTGCGGAAATGTTATACAATTGTATAAAATTTCTTTCACTACCCATTCAATCCATCTCCAAACACTATATACTGTAATTGGTGCTAATCGTCGGCTAATATTGTGCAGGTTAGGCTCTGTCTATTGATTTTTTGCGCTCCATTTGCATTTCTAGAAAGAAATTCAAACCGTATTATGTGGTCGGTGTACGGGGAAGAAGAGGTCTACATAGCACCTGACTCTTCCAGATTCCGATCAAGATCAAGATGACGGTGACGGATGCGACGAAAGGGTTAGAGGTGCGAGTAATATTGAATGGTTGTCATCCTTTTTTTCAGCAGTTTTTCATTATAGATGGCTATATATTTGAAGCTTAATAGTCTTTAGTCTGGCAGTTTATTCAACGTTTCGAGAAAAAAACATCAAATACCCGTACGTCGAATATATCTTCCTACTCGATTTCTTTGGGAGAAAAAGAGATGAAATTTCTAAATCTGATGTTATGTTTGTAGCAAAATGTTAAAGACTCCACTCCGAAATGTTATGTCCTTTGTTTGCTTAACACCCTCACTACACCAGTTTCCTTCTTTAAAGATTGCTGTGGCATATTCCTTCAGTCAAAAAGTCTACATGTGACCCAGAATGTCAACGAGTAAACACTGTAACTCTCGTTGTTGACGAGGAACAACTCCAATGCTACGAAATTACTAACACCATTGAACTAAACATCTAATTTTTAGCTCATGCTCTATCTTATTGTATAGTACTGTATATATATATATATATATATATATACATAAATTAAAAGGACAGTAACTAGAGGGAACTAATAATTTAATAACAGTTCCTTGATTGTAACGTAATTTTATTTTTCAAACTTACTTTAATATTATTTCACTGTAAAATAGGATTTGAGACCGTTCAACTTTGAATGAAAACTTAATATACTTTGCTGATTATTTATGAAAAGAGATATTCTTAAATTACTTAAAGACAAAAGATCAGTTGAGCACTTCTATATTTATTTCATTTTTCGAGTTAAGTTAGCTATATTTATGAGTGAGAACGTTCAACAAAGGTTACTTCTTAAATTAAAATAACAAAAATTACGAAGTTACTTGAATATCAGAGGAAAAATAACTAGTTATAAACAATTATCTTTCGAAATTAAATAATAGAAATTACGAACTTACTTTGATAAATAGATGAACGATTAATTAGTCGTTCATGTCAGAAAAACAATTATTTTCAAACAAATATTACATAAACTGCGAAGTAACATAAATAACAGACGAACAAGTAATTGGTCATTCACATTAGAAATTACTTCTCAAAATGAAATAACAGAAATTATGAAATTAGTTGAAAAACGGAAGAAAGAATAATTGCTCACAAACTACAGTGTAAAATCCATTTTCTGATAAACAACCAGAAATAATTTTTCTGCTCCACACTCGTGATTGACTTAATGTTAGTTGAAAGATACCTTAAAATAGATTTGAACATGTGGAGTGAACATGTTATATCAAAACATGGAAACACCTGTGCACAAACTGGATCTGTCACCTAGATGCATCAACCAGGGTGAGAAATGATTATCATAATTCCGAAATTCCACACACACATATCTATATAACAACTGATTCAAAATTCGTGAAACATGAAAACATGTGTTTATACCATGAAATCCATAAAAATGCGTCGATGTTTCAGTGTTATTCCAATAAACCTATCAAATAAAAACGTCCTTATATCTATAAATCAAAAATAGTTTTAGTATAACTTTAAAATATCAAACTATCCATCAAACAAAAGCGACGTCATACAGTGTGATCTTAAAATGTCAAAAAATCCATCAAACAAAAGCGTCGTTTAATCAGCATGATCCCAAGACGTCAGGAAATCCACCAAACTAAAGCGTCGTTTTGTCAGCGTTTTTAACTTGGCGAAAATATGTTTACAAGATAAAGTTTAAATCCTTATCGATACTATTCTGAAATAACAAGCAAAAGTACTTTATGTTCTGCCAAGTTGCTCGTAAAGTTAATAGAGTGGAACAGTCTGTAGAACTTTTACATTCGAACGTTAACTAAAATTTATATTCTCTCGTCAGGTAGAGGAGAATCATAAATAAAATGTTATCTTTCAAATGGTTATATCTTAAAACTACTTGTCCTAGAGACGAAATTCGTTATCGGAACATAACAATCACAAGTTGTATTCAGAAAAGTTTGGAAATCTTATAGGGTTTTTTTAAACAATATTCTACTGCGTACCTAATCGCTTTTAAAATAATATTCTACTGTTTATCTAATCACTTTTACAACAATATTATACCGTGTACCTAATCGCTTTTACAACAATATTATACAATGTACCTAATCGCTTTTACAACAATATTCTACTATGTACCTAATCGCTTTTACAACAATATCTACTGTGTACCTAATCGCTTTTACAACAATATCCTACTGTGTACCTGGTCGCTTTTCTCGAAACTAACATTGATGTTACTTCTGTCTTCTTCTACAATATGATATTATTGATTTGAATGAAATGCGAATCAGTGTGCAGGATATTGCGTGGATCATGGAACACTGCCCAGAACACTTTAGTTACACTTGCAGTATGCTCATTTAATGATAAGATTGATGCGCTGATATAGACTGACGGGAAGCACACTGAACACCTTCTGTGACAGTTTTTGAAACACTTGTACCACATTCAAAGTTTTAAAATAAAATGTATGATTTTCAATGTGCCACTGGTGAGATTCAGTTATCTTAGGACAAGTAGCCTTTAATATACAATGGTGTAAAATAGACGTTTTCTTTATTATCATCGTGTATTTCTTGTCTTTCTAATGTTAAACATATTCGCATATTTTATCTGATATATATATATTTTTTATATTTAATTCCGATAACTGTCCATGTAATTACAGAGGCTGTAAACAGTGTTAAACTTTGAAATTCGCATGGTGCAGCCGAACCTGTTCAAAGTTGTATTTCGTCCTATATACTTCTCAATCTCTATTGATTTCCTCTCATTGGTTTTCAAGAGACAGTTTCATTGTACGAGCAGCTGCTGGTTTAGTTGCGTTCCCTAAGAGTTACAGACTTGCGCGCACGTAGCCACTGCGCAAGCGTATAAGAATTCTTGACTAGTATTAACCAGCCCGTCAAAGAAACATTGAATCAGTTCTTCGGAAAGAAAACACGGACCAGCAGGGCTACATATTGTGTACAGCGTTGGCGTCCAAACTGAAAACAAACTGTAGGTTAAATAAACATTGCAGGCCTCGACTTCTCCATAATCTGAATATTTCTCCATGAATTCTCCTGTTCCGTATACAGTGCTTGCTACTCTAAACAGTAGCGTAGCCATAAACCTTGAGAAAAATAATGTTAATGTGTCCATTCTACAACAAGCTGCAGTCGAAATTTACGATGTCCCAGTGGGAATTATCAGTTTGTTATCTGTTTGCTATGGTGCTGTGTCTCTGTTGGCGGTTGTGGGCAACTTTTGTGTGTTGTGGATAGTAGCTACTAGCCTCCGCATGCAGACAGTTACTAACTTTTTCATTGCGAATTTGGCTTGTGCGGACATCATTATAGGACTTTTCTCCATTCCTTTTCAGTTTCAAGCGGCGTTATTACAACGTTGGGTCCTACCCGCTTTCATGTGCGCTTTCTGTCCCTTTGTCCAGACTCTGTCTGTGAATGTCAGTATTTTCACTTTGACGGCTATTGCCCTGGATAGGTACCGTGCCGTAATGTTTCCTCTCAAAGCTCGGACTACGAAACTGAGGGCTAAGTTTGTTATCCTGGGTATATGGGCATTTGCCGCGGCAGCAAGTGTACCCTACGCGTTGGCTTTAAGAGTAACCTACGTATATGATTCCGCAACAGGAAACTATACCAAACCCTTTTGTAACAACGTGGGCATTCCTAAGGTTATCTGGAAAACTTACAACCCCATGCTGGTGTGCTTGCAGTATTTCTTTCCACTGTTTGTCATCAGTTACGCATACGGTCGTATGAGCCTGAAACTGAAAGATGCTCAAGCTCCCGGGAATGCGGAAGGAGCTCGTGATGCGGGAATCCTTCGTAATAAAAGAAAGGTATCACTTTATATTATCCTTCATCAGCATTCTAATAGTGGATTATTCAAATTATTGCTTTAATTTATCTTCTTTTTTTATATGTTTGCTTGAAGCACGACTTTGTCAAAATCATCACTTGTGGCGGTATATTTACTTTAAAATAGAAGTCAAAATTTACAGAAGAACACATTTTCTCATTTCGTCTGACCACTTTTGTTAGATTGATCAATCAGTGGGTACATTTAAGCACATTTTAACAGTTTGATACGTAGCTTAGTTCCACTTATTATCAAGTACAGGTAAACACGTTATACTATTAAAATCATAAATAATATTCAACGTTAAACTGGTACACAATT